AGCATGAATGATGGAATGAAAATTATTTAAGCATGGCCTCCTAGCCACAGGTTGATGGCGTGTTAAAGAGATTTAAGCTAATTCTGCCATGAGGTTTTGTTCAACGCTCATCCTATGTAAAAATATATCCAATGTTTGATCAAAGAGAACTATTATTAGTACACCCTAAGCATTCGCACATGTATATCTTCCATTATGGATATGAACCAATATGTATTCAGTGTGCCCTGGTTCATGTGGACAAGGTTTTGTGACAAAACAAGGAATACTGTTGATATTGTCTCATAAAGTTCAACGAAATCATACACACMCTGTAAAGAAGGCTCTTTGTGATACATCGAATGACGCACTTTCCGACGACTCAGTACCCCTACTATTTCTTTTTTTAGAGACCGCAAAAGCTTCCGCCTCGTGTCTGACTCGTTGGTGCCTCATGTCTGTCACCACTTTTTGACGAATATCTTCTATGCTCTGCATCTCCGTAAAGAAACTTTGTTCTTGGTTGTACTCCACGAAATGCAGCCCCTCCAACCATGACTCATATAAGATGGCCTCAGCTATCTTMTTTATTTCAGCACGCCTGCTATTTCCTTCACCCTTTTCATYGCGATCTTTAAGGTAGTTCTTGAATCCCTCATTTGCGAACATAATYCTTCGAAATGAAGCGTTGCCAATGTGCTTATCATTCTGACTSCAATTTTTTTTCGAGGATCCCAGAATTACGAAATTAATTTCGGGACATTCTATTCCCAARAAAGGCTTCGGTGCTGAAGGGGCACCCCTTTTCCGACTCAGTTTCTTCGAAACAATTTCTTGTTCCTTTGCAAATTTGTCCATAGCCATTCGAACCTTGATTAATCGAAGAATATTTTTTTTGAACTGTCCTGATTGCATTTCTGGCATGTCTTCTACTGGGATCCCAAAGCTTCGGAGACTGTAACAGCATTCGATTGGATAACCACGATGTATTCGCAGAACCTTCCGTCCTTCCTGCCCAATCCAAGCCATAAATAGCGCTGTGATGACTYGGTAGACCGGTTCGTTTGGCACACATAAGTGAACAGCGCCCCAACGAAGAGGAATCGCAYCGAACATACGGCGGAGACGGGGCATGTGATTGCCCCCATGACTTAGCTTGGTTTTTCCAATGACGCCAACATACACCATTCCATTGCGTTGGGTAGTTATGTCCTCAGATATGATCGCGAAGAGTAGGTACGCATACACCTTAAAGATGATTTCCACTGAATACGGTCGGGAAGTAGGATGTATGTTGTAAGCAACGATTCTTCTTCCCAGGCAATCCCGGGAGGGCAAAAGCTGGAAGTTTCCTTCGTGCAAATAGCTGATTTCGTCTTCATTCAAATCAGTGATGAACAAACGTCGTGTCAAAGCGAATTCTCCAAAAACTTCAACCAAATAATCGAGGCACTTGCAATATCGAATAGCAGCATCCTTCGTGTTGAACCCAGTCGCTCTCAAAAATCTTAATCGAAACTCTTTGCTCTGTGTGTAAAGACTCTGGGATTTGAGTCCACGTAGGTGGGCGCGCTTCTCCTCAACCGACAACATGTTGATCTCTGTCTGCATAGTATTCAGCGCGCGGGTGATCTTTTCTGGTGTTTCCCCGACGGCCCATGACTTTATCCCGTGTACCTTGTCGTCGTTTACCTCTCTTTCATTCCGTTGGATGCGCGACAACTCCTYCGCCCACAATYCTTCCATCGCCAATGGACCTGAAGGCACGACAATAATTTCATCTTCGGAAACTTCATGACCATTCATTTTGAGCTTAGATGGGGCGGAACCGAGTTCCCTCTTCTCGTCTTTGCCGTTCRTCCTGGAGTTCGCCATACCTTATGGTCAACAAAYAATGGACTTGGACTTTCTTGTTGTGCGGGARGTCACTTAATTGCCCTATCGCGCCATTTCTCTTCCTATCACCAGACMTCTAATTCTTGGGGACTGTTGCTGTTGATGTTATCATGCGATATGCTAATCATAATCATGAAAATTGGGAGGGGCATTCAAGGTCGCACGGTGGGACGGCGATCGATTACTGGAAATGCGAGATTTTCTTACAGATTTTGTTCCCCTTAAACAAAATACGAGGATCCGTCCAAATAAATTACTGTACCGTGGCGTACAAGTACGAGTACGAGGTACCTAACCATACGGTGCGAAGTACGATTAACGATAAACGATCCCTCATCCTTTGAAGTGCAATTCCTCTGATACAACAGAAAACAACCGACCGGCATTAAATAAATTAGGAACAATCAGTGAAGGGTTATTTAAAAAAGTGTATAAATAAATTATCTTGTGAGTTAATTCTGCGTAAAATTCAAATAAAGCRCTAATTAARAAGTAAMCTCAGGATGGGACATGGTAGTAACTTGTTAAAGCAATGCTATCCCTTCTTAAAGCGCTGAAAGTGAGGGATAGCATTATTTTTAACAGCTCCATTGTGGACGACTCTTAAATGATTCGAATGGATTGTTGGATTCTATTTGCTCATGAGGAGCTATTTTATTCTACCGTATTCTATTCGATTCGATTCGATTCGAAAAGCATGGCCTGCTAGCTGTTCACAGTACGAGCGTACCCAGTACTCTTACCTACAGTAAATATTACCGGACTCGGACTGTACTTCTAACTTTCAGCCTAGCAGGCAGGGGTCCAACATTCACGACATAAAATACTACTACTAGTATCAAAGTAGAAAATACTCGTGAGTAGAGAATTAGGGCAACGAAGAAATCTACCGTACGAGTACGAGTAACGTATGGTACGGTACATACGAACCGTAATCTTCGGTCAACGCACTTCATATCGAATGAACTGGTACCGTACACTGAGGGACGCTGCAGATATTGGAATCTAGGGATGGACAGACGGGGTGGCATCAGCCATCGACGCTTTTCGTCTCTGAAAGATTTCCATGATTGGTTGCATGATTTTCATCGATTTCACATTCGATGGCTCATGGATTTCGTTATTTCTGACCTAGATCATGATTCCTGGTGATCAAGTTGATTCATTCGATCCATTGGTTATCCACCCGAACAATTCGCTTCTTGTTTCAAATACTCTCAATGGAAGGCACTGGAAACACTGTTACTCCTGTCATYACCTGGGGGTCCTAATTAACGTTTATCGATAGTTTGTCTTAAAATAGGAAAATGGCGAGCATGACGATTTTGAGAAGAATAGCAACGGCGAAATGGATGGATTCAAGATCAGTGATGGTCTCGATTGCTAGTCCACTGTTATTCCCGCCCATGCTGTTGATACTGCTGCTCTTATCGATYCTTTTCGYTGCCGATACCGTAAAAGCATTTTCTGCTACAAGCACTACGCATACAAACTTTCACTCAGTCCGAAACGCAAATGCAAATCCACATTGGTGCGCACAGACGAAGGGCACTTTGGTGTGCATGCCTCTTGCATCCACTTCCTCCTCGCTTGCCGCATYTTCTTCTTTAGAAGATCCCGAAGAAGGAGACGAGCCCACCCTAATGGTTCCAAAAGAAGCCTTCACGTCCGAAGCTGAGATTGCYGAGCGGGCCAACGAAATGCTTTCAGGAAGCAATGACAACGTCGACTTGCGCAGCGAGCTGGAAAATTCATTTCTGCAGTATGCYCTTTCAATCATTTTGGGGCGGGCGCTTCCGGATGCCCGGGACGGACTGAAGCCCGTCCACCGGCGCATCCTGTTCGCCATGCAGCAGCTCAAGCTCAATCCCAAAGGCTCTCACCGTAAATGCGCCCGCGTAGTCGGAGAAGTCCTGGGGAAATATCACCCGCACGGTGACATGAGYGTCTACGACGCGCTTGTACGAATGGCCCAGGACTTTTCCACMTCCTACCGGCTCATCGACGGACACGGAAACTTTGGTTCCGTTGATGCCGATCCCGCGGCGGCCATGCGTTATACCGAGTGCCGTCTCACGTCGCTGGCAACAGAGGGGCTATTAGAGGAACTTGATCTAGATACTGTGGATTTTGCGGCAAATTTCGACGGAAATGAAGAAGAGCCAACCGTCCTTCCATCCAAGCTCCCGCTTCTCTTGCTCAACGGGAGCTCTGGGATCGCCGTTGGGATGGCAACGAACATTCCTCCTCACAACCTGCGGGAGATTGTGGCGGCCTGCAAGGCACTGATCGAAACCGAACGAATGTCTACCGAGACCCAAACGAAAAGCAAGAAGGTCAAAAAGGGAATCCTTTCGGACGACGAACTCTTCGAACTTGTTCCGGGGCCGGATTTTCCAACGGGGGCGACGATTCTAGGTACTTCCGATGCAAAAAAATTGCACACCACTGGCAACGGTCGGGTCCTGGTCCGAGCCATCACACATCTTGAACAAATAAAAGGAAGCGGAAAGAAGAGCCGCAACGCCATTATCGTTACTGAGCTGCCCTACCAGGTCAACAAGGCGGCCCTACTGGAACAGATAGCTAACCTTGTCAACGACAAAAAGCTTGAAGGCATTAGTGATCTGAGGGACGAATCAGACCGGGATGGCATACGCATCGTCCTTGAACTCAAACAACGCGATGCAAACCCGAAGATCGTACTAGCAAATCTTTACAAGAAGACAAAATTGCAGACATCATTTTCGGGAAACTTCTTGGCTCTCATGAAGCCAGACTCTGTTTCGACATCCGTAGAAAGCACAACGAAAGGAAGCAGTGCAAAGGCATCTTCCTTTGCTCTGACACCCCAGAGRTTTACCCTTCGAGATGCTCTAGACTACTTTTTGGATTTTCGATTTGAAACAATACGGAGAAAAACGAGTTWTCAGTTGGGGAAGGTCCAAGCACGAACACACATCGTCGATGGGCTTTTGCTCGCGCTGGACCGCATCGATGACGTCATCGAATTGATAAGGACCATGCCGGATCAAGCAGCCTGTCGTGCAGCACTGATGAAAATTGACGAATCAGCTTCCAGTGGCAAGAACAAAAACAGTGAGCTTGCCCTTGGTCTGTCCCGTATCCAGGCCGACTCTGTGCTAAAATTGCAATTGGGACAAATGACGAGACTGAGCCACGATAAGCTCAGCGAAGAACGCGACGAGCTGGAATCTCGCCGAAAGGGCTTCCAAAGGATTTTGGACGAAGACAATGCGGTGTATGAACTCATGATAGAAGAAATGGCCGACCTGGATCGCAAATATGGAGTTGAACGACAATCAAAAATCATCTACGATGAGGATGGCGAGGTCCAAGAATTGGATATGGTGAAAAATTCGAGATCGGGTAAGTTACAGCGTGCTCTTTGCCATTTGTAACGCGTTGCTTGTGTGACTTCCTGCGGGGCATATCTTTCCTTCGTTTTGAAACAACATACTGACGATAATGATATCCGGATTCATAGTTATCGTGGTGACCCGGGGGGGTTACATCAAACGGATGGAATTGAAAACCTTCGAGAGCCAGCGC